GTAGTAGATATGAGCTGAACACATGCATTCAGCAGTGTTACCTGTGGTCCAGGCACTGTGCAGAGTGCCGGGGTACACGGTGGTCATAAGTACGTAATTAGCATCCCCCTTCATAAGGCTCACATTCGAGGGGTAGGGAGGGCCAACCTGGGAGTGAGGGGCTGGGCTGGGGAATGCCTGGCCAGATGGCAAACTGCGGACAGGCTATCATCCCTCAGCCCTGCCCACCGTGTCTAGATCAGTAAACAATAGAACACCTGTCGAATGAATTGACAAATAGTTACGAGGGGCAGTCAGTGTGATGACGAGAGAGAAGGGGATGCCACGAGAGCAAAGAAATGGGGCACCATCAGGTGTGTGGTCAGGGAGCACATCTTGGAGGAGGTGACGTTTTACGCAGAACCCTGTTAGCGTTAGGCATTGGGCCTGTGAAAGGGGAGGAAGCCATCACCCCAGTTGAGGAACAGTGACAAGTGAAGGGGCAAACAAAGCCCCACCCACGTGGACAGGCAGCAGATGGCAGCCCCAACCTGGCTCCCATCTTCCTCCCGACCCTGCCTCTCTTCTTGGAGCACATGGAATAGGCAATGGATTTCTTTCCTTTTCTTTTTTCTTTTAAGACAGTTGTTTATTTGAAAGGCAGAGTCACACAGAGAGAGAGACAGAGAGATTTCCAACTGCTGCTTCCCTACCCAAATGGCCTCAATGGCCAGGGCTGGGCCAGGCCAAAACCAAGATCCAGGAGCTTCATCCAGGTCTCCTACATGGGTGTCAGAGGCCCAAACACTTGTGCCATCTTCCACTGTCCCAGAGCAGCTGGGACATGAATGGGTACCCGTATGGGATGGGAAGCTGCTGGTGTCACAGGCGGTGGCTTTACCCACTACACCACAACACCGGCCCCAGTCAGTGATGCAGTCAGAGACAGGTGATGCATCCATTCTGCACAAATTTTGTCCCAAAGGAGGATTCCGATTTGGTATCAGAAATGGGAAACCCTGGGGAGAAGCCAGGGCAGCTGATCACAGATGATAGGGATCACACAGGTCAGGGGAGGGGAAGGAACTATGCTGCGTGGCAGAGCCCGGGCGTGGTGGAGTTCTAAGGTGTCCTAGAAGCCATGATCCTGTTTCCCAGCTTGCTGTTGCTAGTAAAAGGAGAGAGAGAGACACTTACAGAATTAGCTTAAACCAGGTAACAGGAAGTTGCATGCATGATTTTTCTCCGAGTCAGAATTCCATTATCTATTTGCAGTGCTGCTTCCTAGCATCAGACTGCTCAGCCCCTGACCAGGAGGGCCCAGGTCAGCCCCTTGCAGGCAGGGCAGTGGAGCCCAGAGATAGCTTTGCAGGAAGACAGGGCCCTGATCCCTTCCCCCATCCCTGTTAGTGATGATGCTGGGCGTGAGGGAAGGTCCTGACCAGGACACAAGGCAGCCACTGGCCGTGTGTCCCTTTCCAGAAGGATCCTCCACGCTCGCGCTACACCGTGCTCTGTTCTTCCCAGTCCTGGTTCTCCAGTCACCTCATCTCACTGTGTCATGGACCACTTTGCCAGATGCTGCTTTGAGCCTGACTTCCGCTTGAGGTCACTGCAACCCGGCAGCCCTCCCCACCCCTGACGAATGCTGCACTGGAGAGGTGGCTCCTGTGCTCGCTCTCCAGTGCCGCTCTGCCTCCCTCTTTAACTGCGCGCTGTTTCCAGCCCACCCCCTCCTTCCCCTCCTCTCACGGTCACTGGTCTCTTGCTCTCCCCTCCAGGCCTCGCCACTGCCTTGTCTCTCAGTCCTTGTTCTCACTGCCTCTCTGTGCACTCATCTCTGGCTGCAGCCACGCCTTGTCACCCCTCCGCGTCACACATGCTGCTCTGGGGGCCTCTGTCCCTTCCGCTCCTGCACTCCCCCTTGCCACCCCTTCGTCACCCTTTGCTTGGCTCTCTTGTCCCCCAGCCCCTTCTGCTGATTGCACTTCCTTCCTTCTTTAGCCTAAGCCCTCTGGATGACAACTGGATCCCATTTCTCCAAACTCATCCTGCACCACCCCCCATCCCGCCAGTCATCCTGCCGTCCCTTTCTCTACTCCTATGTGAACTGAGTTACTACAGGCGGCTGGGACAAGCAGGCCATGCCTCTTGGTGGGGCACCAGAAGTTCGTGGCTATCTGTCTGGCCTGGGCTTCCTCTTTTTCATCGTAGCTGCTTGTCAACCCACACCTGCTAGCTTTACCTTCAGCAAAGACCATGACCTCTTCCTCCAGGTAGAAAACAGAGCCTGCATCATCACAGGGTCTTCCTCAACTTCCTGTCTCGTGACCTGAAAACTCACTGCCACCACTTCTCCCTTCTGCCCTGCTGTCACAAGGGAAGGCGGTCCCTCCTGGTCTCCAAGGCTGACCCTCCCATCTGCTCCAGGTCCCCTGGCTCCCGCCTTCCTGGAGCTTCCTGCCATCATTCCCTGTTTCTTCCCCCACGCCTACAGTTAACTGCTCGCTCTGTCTTCCTCCCCACCCCTCCCCTTGTTCTTCCCCAGCATTTAAACATGGTCATGTCTCCCCCATCTCAAGTACATTTCTATTTGTATATATGTTCACACACGGCCCTGGCCCTTATCAGTTGATACCTAATTTCTCTCGATTCCTTCACTGCCTTTGAAAGTCCTCTCCTTCTCCTGTAGCATCTCCCTCTCCTCCCATCCTTGCACTGATCCACTCCTGCCAGCATCAGCAACGGCCTCCTTTTCATGGCAAACTGCTCGTCAACGCTTTGTAAATGCCCCAGCTGCACGTGAGGCTGTAGATCTCTTGGGAACTCCTCCTTCTCTAAGCTTCTGGGACCCTGCTCTGCCCAGCACTTCAGGCTCCCATTCTGCTTGTGCCTCTGATATCCCTACCTGGGCACCTCTTCTCACCCCCGACCCCCCCAGCCCCCCCAACCTTGGGTGGTCTCACGCACTTCAGGGTTTCTCTTCCCATCTACGAGCTGAATCCCAAATTCCCTATTTCCAGACCAGACTTTTCTCCTGAACCTAAGTGGAATAGATCATTCCACTGGAGAGTCTCATGGAGGCCCTGGTGATGACCTTCCATCCAGACCTCGTGTTCCAGTGAGAGCACCCAGTGCCCAGGCCAAGCCCACCGAGCGTTAGGCCCCTGCCCTTCCTCTATAGCCTGTATCCTCAGTGCCTGTGTGGTCTGTGGCTTCTTCCTGCGGTAGACCCCTCTCCATCCCCTCTGCCTGTGCCCAGTCCAGGACGCCATCAAACACTTCCCACTAGGATGGAGGCTCTGTGGATCCAGGGCTTGCATCTGCCTTGGTCCCCACCATGCCCTCGGTGCCCAGCACTGTGGCTCAGATGTTTGTTGAGTGAATGCATGGTGTTCCTGCATCCAGTTGTTTGCCCCAAGCTAGTCTCCATGGAGTGGTCAGAGAGGTCTTTCTCAAAAGCTAGATGGACTATAAACTATATAGATCAAAACTCTGATCGACTCCCTATCACCTACACGCTGAAGTCCAGCCTCCTTAGCAGACTTCCCATGGGTGCCTTGTCCCTGGTTTCTTTCCCATCACGCTGTAGAGAGCACCCGTGCCTGCAGAAAGCAGCCTGGCCCCCGGGTGGAGAGCCCGAGCGCCACACAGCCCGAGTTGAGATCTGAGATCTTCCACCAGTTCTGTGCCTTGCGTAGTTACCTGATGTCTCTCTCTGGGTCTCGGTTTTCTTACTTTTAAAATGGGGGCACTAATACCTAGTCATTATGTGGGAAGTCACACAGGTGCACACCTGCATAATCAGCGGTAGAGTCGCTGGTCATAGACTAGAAGTCGCTTCTGGTCACAACTGCTGGGCAGTTGCTGTCACACCTACGCTGCAGTCTGTGGCCTGCCCCCCAGAACTTGGCTGGGAGTCTTCCCACCCCGCGGAGGTTCCGTTCTCCCATATTCCTTTCACCCTGCTGACTCCCCCACGCCCTGGAACCTTCCTGGAGACCTCACCTCCTCCAAGAAGCCATCCCTAACCCAGGACTGAGACTAGGGTAAGGTGCATGAGACACTCACCTCAGGCACAAAATATAAGGGAGCAAAAAAAAAAAAAAAAAAAAAAACCTCAGGAATTAAGACAAATAACAGTTTAATGCAGTATTTTTAAATGAAGATAAATGCAAAACATTTGTAATAGAAAATAACAACATTTTAAGTAGAAACAGGCTGTGACAGAGCCAGGACTAGGGAGAGGGGACTGATGTCAGTCATCTAAGGCCAGCTCTAATCCAGTCTTGAATTTAAATGTTGGTATCTGTCTTCATTGTGGGTTGGATGGATATGCACGAATTGTGATTTTATTACAAATACATTGTGCTAAGGTATCTCTCGTGATTGTTGAGTTTTTGGTGCCTCCTGAAATTCAGCACATGAGGTTAGTGGCTCACTCCCTGCATCCTATTTGAGTCAGGGGCTTCTGTGCCGAGCACGAATCAGCAGTGCCATGAATACCTGGCTCCTTGTTGAATCGCTCCTTAAGAGCAGAGACCGCATCCAGATCTCGAGTGCACAGCACAGGTGCTGGCACACAGGGTTCAGCACGTGCTTCTGATTGCACTGACAACCGGTGAGATTGGCTGGGTGAGAGCAGGGGGGAAGGGCTGTCTTACACAGTGCGGGGTGCTGGGCAGCTTCCTTCCCCTCCCCCCAGGATGCTTGTTCTCTGGAAGCATCACAGCCTCAGTTAGGGGCCGTGGACAGGGACGCGGACTGACACACCCCACTCATGCATCCTCTACAGCACAGGGACGCCTTGCTCAGACCTCGTCTCTGAGCCCCACCCTGCAGCAAGCGGGGTCCGGCTGTCTTCAGACCCTGGTCACTTTCACCAGGCCTGGGAATGCCTGCAGTGACAGTCCTTGCATCCCAGGGACTTGGAGCCCAGCGAGCACTTTGGGAGGATGAGGGACAGCTGCTTGCTCCTCCAGGCCTGCTAGTCACAGGGGCCCCTTCTCCCTTTCCTTCAGATGGCTGGAGCTCTGAGACCCGGAGCAAAAGGGCCGCCTCCCCCAGAATGCCTCGGGGTATCCCCTCTTCCGGCCCTGAGCGTGGGCAAAGCCAGCTTCAGAGGAGAGCTCAGATGGTTTCTGCAGGTGTGTGTGTGCAGAGGGGAGGCCACGGGCTGGGGGGCGGACAGCTATTTCGTTGACTCGCCCTTGAGGTTCCTCCAACCTGGTTCCTGATTACAGAGACCCCCACGCACAGAGCCCTAGGTGTTTGACTTACACACACCAACCCCCACCCCACCCCCCAAAGAATCCCGGTCCTGCCAGCCCTCAGCAGGCAGCTGGAGGCCAGGGCTCTCAGGCTGCCACAGACTGGACAGCCAAGAAGAGCCGGACCCTAGGAGGCAGTGCCTGGGGCTGGCGCAGCAGCCCCACTTGCCCACAGAAGCCCCATGCTGGGTTGAGAGAGTTTTTGCAGACTCATTTTTATCAGGGTCACACACAGCAACTTTCAGGACCACGGATTCCAAATGCCCTTAATGGCATCTGCAAAAAAAGCCAAGGTCCCTTAGGCTGAGAATCCTGGGAAGAGGTCCAAAAAATCTGCCCCCCATGACTCCAGGCTCCTCTCTGCCCAGTCGCAGGACCGATAGTCCACACCGCACCATCTGGCACCTCCCGCGTGACCTCCTGTCTTCCTGCAGGACACTGCCCTCCCTGGTCCTGAGCTGCCGCTGCTGCTGCTCCTCCTCCATCCCCCAGCACCAGGCACAGCACCATGCAAGTGGGGGGTGACTCAGGGGGAGTCCAGGGACTTGACCAGGACAGACTCCTTCCAGAAGCATCCAGGCCCTTCCTGGCTCTCCAGCAAGGCGGCCAGCCTATCACACCACCAAGTCCAGGCCCCCAGAACTATCTTGGGGAGCCCACTCTATGCCTGCCTCACTGCCATGGGCTCAAAAGTGTCCGCGTATTTAATGAGTCATTTGTTTCATTTTACCTGCTGCCATTTCAAATTGCAGCAAAACCTGTCTTCAGGAGAGCGTGTCCATATCAGGAGCAGAGACGATTGATTTTCACTCAAGCTCTGGTTAGTGACCAAGGCCAGCAGCCCAGCGCCAGCGACCTTCTCCTCTTGGGCTTGCCTTTGCTGCTCAGGAATGCACTGTGCTTAAGATCGATAAAGGGACATCGGTAGATGCAGGGTCAAGTTCCATAAGGAAGTCTGCAGACGTGGGGGCTCTGGGGAGGTAACCCATGGAGAATGTAGAGTCCAGGAAAATATCCGGGCTGCCAGCATAGGAGAGGGGGCCCCTCATCCCAGGACGCTGCAGGATTTCCCAGGGATGCCATCCCTCGTGACACCTGTGTCGCTCTGAGCACTGACTCCTGGTAGAACAGCAGTAGACTGGGGCATGTGGACCTCGCGCGCCACAAGAGGGGCGAAGTCACCGTTTGTCTCTGTTTGTTCCTCTTCCTGTCTTTCAGAGATCGAGCAGGGCAGTTGCGGTGACCCTGGAATCCCTGCCTATGGCCGGAGGGAAGGCTCCCGGTTTCGCCACGGTGACACGCTCACGTTTGAGTGCCAGCCTGCCTTTGAGCTGGTGGGGCAGAAGGCAATCACGTGCCAAAAGAATAACCAGTGGTCGGCTAAGAAGCCAGGCTGTGTGTGTAAGTGAGCCGGGAGGGGTCGCTGCTGCCCAGCCGTCCCGGGGCCGCGTCCTTGGGAGCCTTGCAGGGCCTACCACGCGGGCTTCACTCCCGTGGCTTCCTTCAATTCTGTGGAAGCTTGCTGCGGGTGTCCTCGTGGCTGGCAGTGGTGTAGACTGTGGCCCTGAGGCCAGGTGCTCTTGACACTTGGGGATCTTCTTCATTGCCATCTCGCCCTCCCTGGTGACCCTTTGGAGTAAGATAGAGACCCCCCTGGGGAATGTGGTCCACCAGGCTCAGACCCTGCCAGTTCCTCCCCTCCCTGGATGCCGCCACTCCTACCCTACAGCCCAGCAACACGGGAGGGGGCATTAGAGTCTGCACCTGCCTCTGGCTACTGCGGGAGACCTGCCAGGGAGTGCCAAGTGTCCTGGAATCGCCTCCTCCTGTGTGGCACTGAGGGAGGGGTGCGGGGTCATGCTGTCTTGCCTCGTTGGTGGCTGGGGAAGGGGCCGGAGTCCAGTGCTCCATGTTGCAGCGTTAACCTAGAAGCTCTTCTCCCTTCCGCTCGGGCCATCGGCCATACTTGGCGACACAAATCGTCTCTGTCTTTAGCCACAGTGGGACTGGCGAGTGTGAGGGGCCATGTGCAGTAGCGAGAGGTCAGACACTGCCTCTGTGGGAAAGCCCGGGGTCCCAACTTCTCCAGGCTGTCGCCGCCTCTTCTCCCAACCCTCGCCACCCCACCTCCTCCACCTCTTTCCGTTTCATCCTCTCAGGGAAGGGCAGAGAGCCTGACCCTGTGATCCTTCACCCCCCACAGTGGGCTGCCTGGGACCTGGAAGGTCTGAGTAGCAGAGCTCGGTGGCCCCTGGGGATGGGGAGTGGTAACCTAGGGGGAACGATCCCATCTCCGCCGTGATGCAGGGCTTGCTGTATGAGTCGGGTTGTACCAAAGCAATTCTATTCATCACATGCAAACAAACAAACAAACAAAAGCCACTTTGTCTGACCGAGTATCTTTGATGACTCAGGAGTTTATGTGCAAATTCACAGAGGCTTAAAGATCAAGTCACCCTTAGATACACATTGGACAGATCACCCTTACTGAAAAGGGAAAATAAAGCTGCTACCTGCTCATCTCTGCTCCCTTTGCGTGGTGGGGATCCAGTGCCCACCAGTGTCAGTCTTGGAGCCCCGTGGGAGCCATGGGGACAGAAGGTTCAGGAAAGACTTGCAGGGAGCATCTTGGGTCTTTGAAAGTGACCGGTGATGGAAGACCCTGACATTGTGGAGCGACCACATTGGACAGAGGCAGGTGGCAGGCAGGGCCTGGAAGGTGAAGGTGTAGGCTGTGAGGGTCCCAGGTACCAGGGAGGCTCAAGCTGTGACATCCATCAGATGAAACAAGGCAAGGAGCACTGGGAGATGGTCAGGTCTCTGGGGCAGAGAGCTGTGGGGGTGAAGTGGGAAGCAAAGCAGACAGCTACCCCACAAGCCCAGGCGTGCAGGTGGCAGGAAGCTGCCTGGGGGGTGGGGTGGGGGCTGTCACTCAGGTCCTCCAAGAATCCCCTTGGCCCTTGGGCTCTCAGGAGTAGTCTTAGCACCTCCTTCTAAAAGCTGCAGTGAGGGTGGGATCTTGCAGTGCCACTCAGCAGGCCCCGCATTTGCGGGAGCAGGGCTGGCAGCCTCCCGAGAGCCAGCCATGCTCGCCCGAAGGCTAAGAAAAGAGGACAGAGCTGGTGCTGCCAGGATGGGCCGGTGCAGTGTGGGGTTGAAACAAAGACGGGGTGCCTGAGGCTTGTTGATGAGAACTGTGGAGCAGGGACTCAGTGAGGGTAGTGTGGCGTTTTTTTCTTCTGGACTATTCTGGGATAGAGGAGGATGATATCCCAGGCACGTCCATCACTTGAAGTCAGTGTCTGGACATTGGGGTCTAGCAGAACACAGCTTGAGTCCCAGGGATGCTGGCTTCCATGCAGGAGGCCAGGGAGAGCCAACTGGCTACCTGCCTGTGCACCACGTGGCAGCGTCACATTTGCACCCCGTGAAGGGGAGGGAATGCCATCTGTCCGCCCTATGCTGAGTACCCCACCCCTAGGCTGATGCTTCCAGAATATTGGGCTTTGCCTCTGGGAGCTCAGAGTCTAATTGGGAGCAGAATGATGTTGATAAGAAAGGCCTGGTGTCCTAAGATACCTCTGGATTCAAAATCTGCAGACCTGGCTCTTAGTTCTCGCTCAGCTTCGTGCTGGCGGCCAGGACGCCCCCGCCTGGCTGTGAGTTTCCCGATCTATCTTGGGTAGCACTCCCTTCAGGTTCCACTGATCTTACTTAGAGCAAAGGGTGACAATGACATGGGCGGCCTCCACATTTTCCACAGTGAATTCTTGGAAGCTCCCGCTAAAGGGGATCATTCCAAGGCCCAGTCATGCTTTGATTGAGGGACGGTGTTAAGCTCTGGTATTCTGCTCCTGACTCCAGATCAAACATCTTAGTGTGTAATCAATAGAAGCTTCTATATATGCCATAAAAATATAAACTAGCACATGCATTTCTGTATTGCATGAACTTTCATAAATTAGTGTCCTAAATCTTGCCATATGTTAGTCACAATAAATATTAACACAGCGCTTAGCAAACAGTGCTGCTCTTTCCTTCTGAGCAGTTAGAGGGGAATGGGGAAACGATCTTGATGGCTCCGATGTCTTTGAATAATCGTGCAAAGAGCTGCAAAGCAGTGCCTTGTTCAAAACAAGTCCTGGCTGGGGAAGCACCATGGCGAGACTGCACAGATGCGCTCCTCCTTCATGTTACGGCACATTGTCTGCAGCAAACAGGGACTTCAGAATGATGCCATTGGCCTCCGAGCTGCCCGCACAGCTGTAGATGCTCCATAGATGGTCTTTTTCCATCTCTGTTCTCCGTATCATGCTGTCACTCGCCATGAAAAGCGTTTTGAGAGAAAAGATGGCTCCGGCTTCTTTCCTCTCATTCTGTCGCGTCTTCTTGGTGAATCCTCATCTCCTGGGACCACTGCTCAGAACCATGAGAAGCAGCGCCAGTTCCCGTCCACTCTGCTGTATTTCCTGAGCGGGTGCTGGGCACCAGGTGTTGCATTCTGAGCCGTGTAGTCTCTGCTTAGGAAATTTGCTTGTCCTGACGGTGCTGATGAGAAAGCTTGGGCCAGGTTGCACATATTCTGTGCCTTCCCAAAGCTCTGTCCGTTTTACCCGCTTCCTTCCAGAAGGATGGAGAGCCTTTCCCACACAGCCCCGTCCAGTCATCCCTCCGCCAGGAGCAATAGCATGGGAGGGAAAGACAGATAACTGAAGTGGTGGTGGTGATGCGCACTGGACTTGATGCTTTGTTGACAAGCAAGTGAAACACTTCACACTTCCATAAGGAAGCCAGGAAACCAATTAACAGCCCATTAGCAGCCACTTTCAACAGAAGTTTTAAAACAGCCTTCACCAGAGATATGCCAGGACTGGGCACACCACACTCCCCTGCACCATTCTGTAAAGTGCAGTGAGAGGTGTGGATCCTAATCGCTCTTGCTCAGTTCTTAATGCCTCATGCGTGCATGAGAAACGGGAAGACAGGGGCTCCCAGGGTGAACACAGTCGCAGCTACAGACCAGCAGCTGAACCTGGAGTGGGCAAGCGAGGGAGAATCGGGACCTCAGGGGGCAGAGGACTGGAGCTGGGCTTTGACAGATGGGAGATAAAGGGATACAGGCATGGCCAGTAGCCCCTTGCTCTGAATCCCTTCCCACCTTCTCCACCTCCTGCTCTGGACACACACACACACACACACACACACACGTGTTTCTGGACTAAGGAGTGCTTTATGTCAGAGAATCATCAGAAGGCTGTTTTCTCCAGTGGACCATTTCCTCTGGGGAAAGGCTTCTCAACCTCGGCCCTGGTGATTTTTGGCCCAGATCTTTGTTTGTACAGGGTACAGTCTTCTGCATTTTAGGGTGTTTTCGCAACATCTCTATCCTCTGCCCACCCCACACAACAGCTATGATGACCAAAATGCCTCTAGACGTCACCAAATATTCCCTGGGGAGAAAACCATCCCACGGAGGAGCCCCTGGTCTAGGAGAGCTTACTCTTATTAAATTACAAATACGAAGCATGCTGTGGGTTTGCATTTTTAAATGAGGGGGCTACAGTTAAAGTCTGTTGCAGATTGTGACAGTGAGAAAGCATGGGACAAGGAGGGAAATGATATTTATTAAACATTCTTATGGCCAGCGCCGCAGCTCACTTGGCTAATCCTCCACCTGTGGTGCCAGCACCCTGGGATCTAGTCCCGGTTGGGGTGCTGGATTCTGTCCTGGTTGCTCCTCTTCTAGTCCAGCTCTCTGCTGTGGCTCGGGAAGGCAGTGGAGGATGGCCCAAGTGCTTGGGCCCTGCACCCCCATGGGAAACCAGGAGGAAGCACCTGGCTCCTGGCTTCGGATCGGCGCAGCGCATTGGCCATAGTGGCCATCTGGGGGGTGAACCAATGGAAGGAAGACCTTTCTCTCTGTCTCTCTCTCTCTCTCACTGTCTAACTCTGCCTGTCAAAAAAAAAATTTATGCTATTGGGAAGATGTAGGTCTTTTCTGCATCTTTATAGACTGTTTATTCTCTCAGTTCATAGATGAAAACAAAGTTCAAGGAGATACTGTAACTAACATACAGGCTAAATGGGACCATTCAGTGATGGGCTGGAATTTGATCCACTTACAACAGTAGTTTGAACCCATGCTCCCATTCCAGTTCGTGCACTCTGTTGCCTGGATGTCCAGAATTCTCTCAGGATCACCTGCAGAAGTAAGGACAAGGAATCCTTAGCACAAGTGTCCTAGGCCAGGGTAGTAACCAAAGCAAGGTGGTGGCGGAGTCCCCCACTATGTAACAGCTTAAAGGAAGCTGAAAGAGTTCATGAAGAATAGATCCATGACCCGTATTTGAACTTTACCAATATCATGCACCAATATGTAATATACTCAGATTGAAACATTT